CTTTTTTCATTGCTTCCCTGGCACACACACCCAAGCCTCATTCCTGATCTTACCTTAAACCTAATTCCTGCTAGTCCACTAACTCCATCTACTCTGTCATTTCAACCTGCTAGGAAGTAGTGGGAGCACAAGGCCATTACATAGTAAGTGGCACTGCAGACCATGGGTCAAAGCCAGAAACATGGTACAAAGCCAGAAACAACTCAGCCACAAGTCGACCAAGCCACAGTGCATCCCTGAGGAAAAGAACAAGAGTCTACATGAGTGCAGCATTCAGTTGTTGTTACAAAGAAAACTAGTTGAATCATTTAAGAGACCCAATGGTCCTAAAACATCATAAAAGTTATGTCATTTTATTGTTTGGTCAGAGACAGTTCATTTGTTAAGACACCACCGAGAATGCAATAAATGCATCATTTTATTCCCCTGAAAGAATCTGCCTCCCTTGCCACCATGGAGATGTATATATATTGCCATATAATGTGACTTTGTTAGAAATGAAGGGTATCCATGTGACTGAAGTGCACACGCATACAGGTCTGTCTATAAATGCTATACCTAGAAAGACAGAGAGGGAGAGGAGAAGGGGCAGGGGTAGGGGAGACAGCTTGAGAGCACAAGCGTGCGCACTGCGCTAAAAGGGAAAAAAAAAATCCAAAGGACTCACTGCAATGCAGTTTTACATACAGACCTGTAGGAGCAACTGGAATGTTATTAGACCATAAAAGCACATCAGGCTGATTTATGGTTTCTGATCAAGGTTTCTGTGAAAATTACTCTGCATCACCGGCTCAAGGTGACTGCTACCATTAATGTGTGGAAAATAAATGAGATGGGGAGGCTGATAGCGGAGGAAGGGAAGGAAGCGCTGAGGCAGTTTATACAGCACAGGTTCCCCATTTTGTTTTACAGTGCAGAGAAGCCTGTCATCAAAATGATTGCTGTGGGGCAGGAAAGGCAATTCTTGGTAATTAGATCTTATGGCATGTAGCTGGTGCTTTCATGTAGAGAATGTACCACGAGAGGAGGATGAATGCCTGCTTTCTGCATACTGTCTTTTCTGTTTTCTACTCATGTTCACATACCATAGTTTAAATTTAGAAGAGAAAACATTGTAATTCTGTTTTCCTGACTCTATTTATATCTAATAGTTTTCATCTCCCCCATATAAATAATCTTCCAAATTTGAGAGTTTCCAAGAGAATGGATGTCTAGAAATATTTTTATATTATCCGATTGCCACAAAAGATTCCCGCTGGCCTTTCCATTCCTGTCCTGTTTATAATTCATCATTGAAGCATCTCATAGATGAAATGCCCTGCTGCTTGTTTCAATGTAAACGAATACCGTATATCCCAAGATTTTCATATACGATAATTGTTGCACAAGGTATAAAGCTATTTGATTGAAAAATGCCCTCTCCTCCTCCTTTTTTTCTTTGCTCTTTTTGTCATTGCAAACTCTGGTTGAGAATTTGCTTATATTGGGTATCACCATATTGTCTTAGAGTTGGAAATTCAAATCTATTTCAGAATTTTGACTCTATATGCAGGTAGAGAACCCCACATTTCAGAATGCTGGAGATGAAATCGAGTAGATTAAAAGATTTTTAAATCTTTCTACTGCATCCCTTTCCCTAGCTCTTAAAACGTGCCCTCTGGTGCTTCCACGTAATATTCCACATCTGGAACAAGCTGATGTCTGCTCTCACAGCTGGCTTCTGCTGTGGTGATAGCCATTAAGAGACATGGCTTCAAGGAAACCCACAGGCCAGAGAACACTCAATCTAGCCAAGAAAGAATGGAGATCTGTGTTCCCCTCATTCTATATTTTAAAGTAAGTTTTTCATCTCAGTGACACATCCCACTCTAAATGCCAATCTTTATATTATAGCAAGGATACACCGAGACTTTTACCCCTACATACACACATGCACACATACCCTGGAATATTAACTGGGACAAATATTAAACATTGGTACTTCTTATACATGCTGTCAAAGATTCTGTTTCAATAGTTCAAACACAGTCACCACCCTACCCCCCAAATGTAGACTACAGAAAGGTTTAATTGAAGCAAGGGATTCTAATATCCATACTGCATTTTAAATGCCTCAAAGACGCTTTCACTTACATCATGTCATGTGATTGTCACAACAATGCCAAGAGATCACTAAGACTGTCATTATGATTCCCATCTTACATGTGGAAATGCAAGCTCAGAGAAGTTAGGTGTTTTGCCTGAGATTATTTCATTCACAGTAGTGGAGCCAGCTCTCATTTCCCTTACCTTCATCTAGGCGGGCTACACTAGTTTAAAAAAAAATCATTGTTCTAGGAGAAACAGACTGCTGTTCTTGTAGTGGCTCTGCTATGAAAAAGAGGCAAAATACTAGGCAAGGCTCCTAACTTCTTGGCTTCTTTGGTTTGTTCAATTTTATGTGGACTAGAAATTTTCTATGGCACCTTCTAGGACTTTTTTTTTTTTTTTTTTCAGAAATGTTCCTCATGAACTACACTATTTAGGGATGAATAACCAGTCACTATCAACACCTTGGAAACAAAGAAAGAGTCTACCTTCCCGGTTAGTGCCTCTCCCATCTCCAACACATGTATACACACATGTGTGGCCTCAGACACACACACAAACACCATTCTGTTTGAAAGAGAAAATTGTAGGACAAGAGAGAAGCCAGCAATTCTTAGGTGTACATGGACAACCTAAAATGCCTGTTCCATTTTAACATTAAAATATAGCTCTGAAAATAATTATTACTAAGCTCCATATAGAGAAAAGAGCACATCTAGAGGTTCCAGAGGGACGTGTGCCAAAGTAGAGCGTCATCTGAAATGTTGCCAGATTGCTATTGCTTGATGGCGATGGCACAAGCTGAATGGATCTAATATATCTCCCCTCATACGGGGTCATTCCCCCATTATGCAGCTTCATTTAATTTGGCAGAGGCTACCTTTTATAGCTAAAGATTCTACAATTTGCTAGTTTCTTTAGTTTCCAAAAAAGAAAAAAGGATTATTTAGTTGATCTTCAGAACGATTCAATTATAAACTCAAAGATAATGACAGGGTATTTGGAATTCAGCCATCTACGAAGATATGGAAATGGGTTGGGAGACACACCTTCTTGCTTTGAAAAACAAATGTTCTCCTTGAGAGATAGAGAGTCGATTGGTCATGGGTCTTTCCCCCTCCAAAAAAATCTATTTTAGAAATCTGTCCCCTTCATGACCTCAATACAGTTTATTCGATTTCTATGGCCTGTTTCAGCTTTGAAACTTGACTGGTGTCTTAGTAACTGCACTAAACTTGGTGGAGAATTTCAAGTTCCAGATGTGGTAAAATCCCTTCTCCAATTCTAATCGCCTGACTAAAAGCCTCAGCATCTCCAACTCCCTGTTCCCCTTCCTGCCTCCTAAAAAGTGAACTATTTAAGGACCAAAAGAAAACCAGAAATATTATCAATAAAAAGGACTAACTTTCGGTCACACAGAAAATATTTGGGAAGGCCTCAGGGTGCGACCACACCAATAGTCACAACGAGGTGAAAGGAAAAGCACGGTGCACACCAATGTCAGCCAGTTCCCCTCAGGATTGTTCTCAGTGGGTTAGAATCAACTGCTTTTGCTAATAATAATGAACACTACTTATCTGACTTCCCACAAAAAGCACTAAAACCTACTCCTTGGCTGAAAGAACCACACAAGTGTTCTGGTGACACACATATGTGTGTGTTTTAGAGGAACGAGTGAGTCACAGGGGGGATAGCAAGAGATGGGGACCACCTTTCTTTCCAGCAAAACTTCAGCTATCTACTTTCCCTTGCCTGCAGACAAGAAGCAGAGTAGTAGCTAAACTGCTTAAATCATTATTCTTCATAGTGCACAGACATTATCTCCCTCCATAGAAATCCTGCCTTTTCTTTCAGATAACTGGCTAGAAATAAAATGCCACACTTTCTCTTCTCAAAGAAAACACATGGTAGGCGTGTTTAAATTTAGGGCAATGGATGGAAACAATTTGCCTCTCAGCCCTTAAAGCCCAAATCCCCAGGCCCATACATTTCCTCAGAGAATCAGTGCTTACACAATGGCTTCATGTTTTGGCGGTTTTGCTGTAAAAGTACCCAGCAATTTTTTTTAAGTACTATAATTTTGAAAATTTCCATTTATTCCAGAAGATATCATTTGGTGGCCAATCAGACAAAAGAAGCAAGGAGAATGACAAAGCTCTTCAATAAGCAGATCAGAATCTTTCCAAACTTTACGTGATAAACACAGTTTACCCCAAGTAAGGTTTCATTTTCCTTGTGTCCCTTACTCAGTTTAGTAAGCCTTTACAGAAACTTTTCTAGCTATGTAGCTCTTGTGTATGTCTCAAAACACACCCTCTTATACAGAGTATAAAACAACTTATCACTATTAACCATTTTTCAGGACAACCTATTGTGGCAGCTTATGAATGCTGAAGGTCGTTTTGATATGGAAATTAAACTTTACTTTTCTTCCTTTGTTTCAGAAGTTTAATTTTAGAATTAAGTGATCCTTGCCTTCAAGGAGAAGGAAATCTATTTTTGGCTGATTAACTTTGGTTATGAAGATTCAACAAGATTTGTTGCAAAAGAACCTGAGGAATGGTGATGTATCATGGAAAAGGCAAAAGAGAAGGGATCTGGGTATTTACTAAATATGCTGAACAAAATCAGAGAGGAAAGGATCTTCCCTGTCAACCTAAAATGAGATTCGCCTAGTTCAGGAAAGGACAGGAGAGAGAGAGAGAGAGAAAGAGTGAGCTGTGGTTTATCTAGGAAAATAGGCAGCCTTAGTTGTTGTCCGTTTCACAAGTGTGACTTGTAGGGAGCATTGCATCCAGAAGTTGTCCAGGCACTACATCAATCCAGCAGATTACCCAGCTATCCCATGCGACAGGTGTCAAGCTTGTGTCCTGTCTATCATTTCTCTTTACTTCTAAACAACTTACTCAGAGGTGGCCTAGCTGGAGTGATGCTCGTCCAGGTCCATGAATGTGCTGGTTCTCCGTTAGACTTATCCTGTGTGAACTCTCACCATTCTCCACACACACCATTGGGACCATGACCACCTGAGTGCTCAAGACAAGAGGCATGGGGTCATGACACACAGAAAGACAGCAATGAATGGAACCAGATAGAAACCCACTTAAGCTAAGGCAGTGCTTTCTTCTCTCAGGGAAGATAAATTTTAGAATTTACAGGGATTCTAGCCCATTTGTCAAGGTAGAAGAACTGGTTGGGGTTGGAGAACCAAGAATGTTTACTTGCCTAAAGAGTCTGCTGTGCATACCTGCATTGGAAACCCACTGTCATATTAGGTTGAATCATATAAAATTTCAAATGTTCAACCATTTTGGCCTACTAAAATGGCAATTTTGTGTTGTCCGACATAATCATAGAATATCTGGGGACTTGAGAAGCCAGCCAAGGATGGCTGCAGAGGTTCTATATAAGAAAGACTTAGATGTGTTATTCTGATGGAGGAAGGAGGAGATGTGTAAGGAACTTACAATGAAACTGCAGTTGCTTTGCAAATACACTAATTTTACTTAGATTAAACATTTGTTTAGAATTTTCCCTTCCTCATTTTCCTCTTATCATCTTTGTCAATGCCATTGATCCCAACCGGTCAGATAGCTTTTTCTATCACATACATGACTAAAAGCATGAATTTGCCTTTTTTTTAGATTTTGCCCTTTTTTTCTATATACCTCCTCTTCTTCTACCTATCACACTAAGATCTGAGATTCCCAAACAACATATATGCTGCCTATCTTCCTCAAACATATTCCTTCAGTCTTAAAAAACAACAACAACAACAAAACAATTTTATCATTCAGCTCAACATATCCCATTCTAAACTCTCTAGTTTCTCACTTTATTACAACAGAGAGTAGTTCAATGCAAGCCTCATTCATGGCTCTCAAATTCATTTTTTTCTGAGCTAGGTAACTGATTGGGTAGAGCTGTGTTCCAATTGCTCAAGTCACTCCTTTCCTAGTCACCCAAGTGCAGAACTTCAAGTCACTTCTAATTTCTCATTCACCATCCCCTGCACCTTGTTATGAAGTTCTGAATCACTCTTCTTCCACAATCTCTCTCTCTTTTTAAATTAATTTGGCAATAGTAAGTGCTTTCTACATGCCATTCTCATTAGTAGTTGTTCCTATCTGTTTTCTAATTCCCCTGAATGCTGCCGCAATTCAAGTCCTTATTACCTTCTGTTTGGATTTCTGTATTGCTTTCCCAATTGTTTATCTTTATAGCAAACCATCTTCTATACTGCTGCCAAATTAGGATTTTTTAAAATCATTTTTATATTTTATGAATCTGACCCAAAGATGAATAATTGTTGAACAAATAATATGGAGGAAAAAAAGAGGAAGAAAAATGGGAACTGGTATGAGGCTGGTCACCAAAAACAAGACTGAATACCACAGTTACTGGGTATTCACAGCATCCATGGTGTCCCAAGGTCATGGCAGGCTCCCTCAGGATTCAGGCATAGATAGTACAAGAGTTTCCAAGAGGAACAATCAGGTTCGTGATCTGATACATTAGAAACAAAAATGGGAACGACAGGGTAACTCCAGAGGTCATGAAGGGTGGCCAGTGCTAATCTCCACTGGATTTAGAGGTAAAGATGCTGAGTCTGTTGAAATATTCCCTGCCTTTTTTTTTTTTTTTTCGTCTGGTAGGAGAACTTGGGCAAGGTTGCATTTTGAAGGAAGAAGTTAAGTAGGTCCAGTTTTGTGAAACTAGGAAATAATGCAGAGGCTGATAATCCTATTATTTCTTTGCTCAAAAACACTCACTGGCTCTTTATTGCCTTTAACTGTCAACAAAATCCTCACCATGTCCCTCAACCTCCCTTTCTAGCTTTGCCTTAAACAATTCCCTACATATACGTAGTAATCCATCCAACCTTCAAAATGCCTACACTTTTCATGCCTTCATGAGTCTCTCCCTGAAAAACTCTTATTTCTTCATCTGTGCCTGCAAAATACTATCTACCATTCAAGTGCTGATTCAGATCCCACCTCCTCCTGAAAGTATTACTGAATCAGATAGAAAGATTGAATTGCTTCCTCCTTGGGACTTTGCACTTCTCACAATGCATGCCTTGTTGAAACTAAATTCTAAGTATCTATCTATCTAAATGCCTGCCTATGGTATGCAGAAAACATACAATGATTTCCTTTTTTTTTTGTATTTGACATTATAGTATGGACATTCTGCACTCATCTAGCCACTTCTATAAAATTATAAGCATTTTTTTTTTTCCAAACAGAGATCATATAGTAACTGACTGATCCTTAATGGTGCCTACCATAATGCCTTGTACAAAACAGGCCTCAGTCAAGATTTACATAATTTATTAAGTTATCTAATTATATATTAAATTGTGTAGCTCAAGTATTGAGCTTTCCCTAGACAGTGGATCAAGACGTATTGATATTAATGTTCACATTTAAATAACAAAGCCCCAAACCCCCACCTGCTAAAAGAGGTGGGGGTATGCTCTGGAGTTCTACTACACCAATATTTCTGAGAATCTTCAACAGTACTGACATATGTCTATGAATCTGTCTCGATGGCCACTGAATGTGATTGCTTTCCAGTAAAAATTAGGCAGCCCAGGCACCACTGCTACACTAAGGAGCCATTCAAGGCTGGAATTCTCCTAATTCTACTGCTGCCATTGTCATAACTGGGAGACCAGAAATCTTTCTTATTGCTTTTTGAAGTGAGAAGGAGAAACCTTTTCTGCATTATACTTAACTGATGTGAGCAGTGGTGGGAGTGAGAGCGAGCCCTTTAATTTGGCCATAGAACTGCAATGATTTATAGTAGCTATCAATAACTTTTCACTCACTGTTGCAACTAGTAAAATCATTGCTTTGTGGTCCAGGCTCTGTTAGTCCCACAGATATGCCACTCATATTCAGCTATCTGGTCTTGCTGCTGCTTTTAGGCAACTGAATACTTTAAACTTTAGCACCATTGCTGTTGTCACCACCTCTTCCTCAAGCACTACTATCACAATAATGGTTGAAAGTGATGAGCCCATGACACCACCAACATTGCTACCAGTCTTTCTGGGGAACTTACAATCACTGGGTCCATCTGACATGAAAAACTGCTACTTAATCAAGCTACCTTATTATACCATTGAAATGAAGTTCTCCACTCATTCGCCTGGGCAAAGATGATATATTGAGAAATCTTATGATTGTTCTCTTTTACATTCCCTTAGAATGTATCAGCAAAGTTGTTTGAGCTCAATTCAGTTCTTTTAACTTGTACATGCATATAGCTACATTCTGCCAAGTGTTGCTTCCATCCCTGACTCCCTCTCCTCATCCCTTATGTGGCTGGACTGGGATGAGTTCTGGTATCAGCCACCTAGCTGTACTAGAATCAATACTCCATACCTCCCTTAAGCCCACTTTGTCTGGCTCACTTTTTCAGTCTTATTCTTTTATCATGAAATCTCTCTCAGGAGTCTTATTTTCTTTACTAAAAAGGCCTCCATTAGAGTTATAGCAGTCCATTTGAAATGTGAGTATACCCTTGAACCTCATTGGTTGTCAGGTCTGAGTCTTTCATCTTATCCCATGAGGTCTTCTATCCCAATATAAATTAGTAAATGCAAGTGATGTGGGGTAGAATGAGTGTTTTTTGAGTCCTTTATCCTGACCGTCCAAGACATCTGTAATCACTGCATATCGGAAACTATTTTTAAAATCTTCTAAATTTCCTGGAGAAGGCTAAGGAATTTTAAAATTTAACTATTACCGTGCTTGGCTATTCTGTATGTTTTCTGTTGGTATATGTGTATGAGTTAATCATCTGAGGCTGGGGAAAGAACCACCCAAAAATTGTTAGAGGTGCTCATAGAGGGCTGATTGCAGGGTACTCATAGAAGGCTGATAATAGTACCTGTTCATACAGGCAGATTGGAAACTCTCACTATTTAACAGCCAGTAGTGTAAAATTCACAATGACTGCCTTCCTATCAAAACATATGAGACGCACAAAGAAGCAGGAAAATACAATTCATAATAAAGGGAATACTCAATTAAAAGAAACGGACACAGAAGTGGCACATATGTGAGAATTAGCATAGGACATTAAAATGGTTATAATAACTGCATTTCATATGTCCAAAAAGTTAAGTAGAGATATGAAAGCTATAAAAAGATTCTAACAAAATTTCTGTAGACGAAGACTATAATATTTGAGAAGAAAATTACACTGGATTGATTAATGGAAGATTAGACATTGCAGAAGAGAAGAATGAAAGATTGATGACCTTGAACAAATAGAAATAGAACTTATTCAAAATAAATCGCAGATTAAAAAATTTAAATGAGCATTAACCCATGGGAGAACTTCAATTGACTTAATATATGGGTGATTAGAATTCCCAAGAGAGAGAGAAAAAAAAATTTTGGAAGAAATAATGGCTGTTATTTTCTCCCAATTTTAGGGACTATAAATCCACAGATCCAAGAAGCTAAATGGCTCTCAAGCACAGAAACATGAAGAAAACTGCACCAAGACATACAATCATATTACTGGAGACCTGCACTTAATAAAAACCTTAACAATTCCAGCAGGAGGAAAATGATACATAAGAGAAACATGAATATGAATAACAGCAGATTGGAAATAATATTAGTAAGAAAAAAATGGAGCAACATCTTTAAAGTACTAAATTAAAATAATAATAATAATAATATAATAATAACTGCCGACTTAGAATCCTATATCTAGCAAATATATCTTTCAAAATGTAAGTAAAGAGTTTTTCAGCAATACAATTATTTTATTTCTGTGTGAAGACTTCCTTTAAGATTTCATACAGTGAAAAAAAATCTTAAATTTTAAATTTATCACCAGCAGACTTGCACTGTATGAAATCTTAAAGGAAGTCTTCACACAGAAATAAAATAATACCACATAGAAATATGGACCTACATAAAGTAATGAAGTGACTGGAAATGGTACTACAGGGAAAATAAATGAGATTTTCTTTAAATTATCTAAATATATTTAAAAGATAATTGAGTATTTATACAGAAATAATAATGTGTGGTAGGAATAACATGTATAAAAGTAAAATATATGACAACTAGCGTGGAGGTATGGAGAAATGGAAATGTACTAATGTAAGGGTCTTATACTGTATGTGATGCTTTATAATATCACTTGAAGGAAAGCTGTGATAAAGATGTACACTACTGATCCTAAAAAAATCACTAGAATAACAAAACAAAAAGTATTGTTATAGCTAATAACCCCCTCCCCCCCCAAAAAGGTAGAATCTTAAAAATATTCAATTATTCCAAAAGAAGAATAGTCAAAAAGAACAGATAGAATAAATAGAAAACAGGTAACAAAATGGTATTTTTAAACTTAGCCATATCAATAATCATATTAAATATAAATGGTCTAAACACCCTAGATTTTTAAAAAGTCACTTCCTTGTTGAAGGACACTACATTAACTTAACTCCTTTGCCAGAAACAGGAAAGTCTACTTAGAAGGTCAAAGAGCAATAAATTCTTGTATTCACAGCAAATCCCACATGCTTGACAGTCTCTTTCTATTAAATGTTTCTTTGACCTGAGAGAACATGATCTAGTTAATTTCAGCTGCAGCAACCTGGCATGTCACCCACACAGTCTGTGGAGGGGAGGGTTATAAAGAAAATCATCACATCCTTGGATGATCACTGTGAACTTCCATTAGCTGACAGTCCAAGAGAGGTTCCTTCCAGCGCCATCATTTCTCACCAAGCTATTAAAATAGTTTCTTAACTGGCTTCCTGGTTCCAGTCTACAATACTTGATACAGACACTTCTCCCCACATTGCTGCTAAGTATTCTTTCTAGAAAAAATAAAAAAGAACCAATGATTTGGAATTGTGTGTGAGGTCCTCCATATGAGATTTCTGATAGGTGCTCATGTCGTGCCTTTGCCCTACATTATTCTCCAAACTTAATATGCTGGTTTGCTCTCCAGCTTTTATTCATTCACTTCAGCCTACTTCACCCCATTCCTACATACTACATTCAACCCACTCCTACATAAATAGAAAAATGTCCAATCATTTTTCAAGTCTCAGACAAAGCTTCTCTTCTATGAAAATTTTCTGACATCTCTTCCCACTCCAATCTTAGTATAACTCATTTTATGTCCTCTGTACCCTAATCAGTATTGTCTTATGTTACAGCACCTATAACACATTTTTACTTTATTTGAACAAATGTCTTATGCTTTATTTAACTGTTATACTCAAGACCCAGCACAGCATATCTCAGTCTTGGCACTACTGACAAGGTTAGTCTTTGTTTGGTTGGGGGAGGGGGGAAGGCTCTCCTATATACTGTCAGATGTTTAGTAGCATCCCCAGATGTTTAGTAGCATTCTGCCACTAAGTAGTACTCCCCCTCACCTGAATCATGGCAACCAAAATGGTTTCCAGACATTGCCAACATCTTTTAGGGGGAGAAAAATCATCCTGGTTGAGAAGTACTGGCCTAACGGATCTTTGAGCATATAAAAGTACGTGGAATAAGAATATGTATTGCTTTGTAGGGGTGACAAGCAACAACAGGAAAAGGTAGAACTTAACACATTGTTCCACAATTATCTTTGAGAAGAATCACATGCAGTGGATAGGAAGTGGGCCAAGGCAGAGGCTGCAATGTTGGAGTCTGTAGAAAAAAAAAGGAAGGGCTCCATGTGGAATCAAAGCAGGAGCAAAACATAAACGTGTCCTCTCTTCCATTCTCTCTACTAGAGAAGTCTGAGCCAACTTTGAACTCTGGTCCTTATCCTTTATCAAGAAGAGGAGTCTGAATGAATGATGAACGCTCTACTTCAGTGGAACCAAAGTGAGGTAGAGCTTCCTCCCTTCCCCCGATCTGGATTTAGTCACCAAGATTTGGAAAACACAGGCAGAAACAACTACAGGGGATCTGGATTTAAATAAACAGATTTTTTAGGATAGGTCAAGTAGATTTTTACACTGAAATAAAGAACACGTGAGAGTCATAATAGAAATGTAGAAATCATAAATAGCAAACCTAACGCCAACACAGCAGCAGTACAAGAGATCAGCAGAGCCGTGACCAAATGTTAAAAATAAAATAGATCTAAACAGATACACTGAAGGTAGGAATTTTTTGTTTTGTTTTTTAAAGCCAGTGTAACAAATGATGGCAATAGTAACTTCAGCAGGCTACTAAAAGGCTGGATATCTCAAAAAATGATCCTCTCTTCCTTAGCAAAAATAATATTAAAATGAAACTGGGATATTTAGCTCCTCTTTTAACACAGCAGGGATCATTTACAGCAAATAAGCCTAAGGGCACTCCAGGGCGGGAACCACTGATGCTGTTGAGAACTGACCATTGTCATTATCCACATACTGTGTTAAACGCCCAAGCCATGCCTATCAACAGTCTTCTGCCTCTGCCTCTGCCTTCAGAGTGCTATTTCTTTTTCCTCCTTAAATCTTAAGCGAGCCCTCTAAACAGAAAAGGAAGTTCCTCAACTATCTCAACTATTCTCTCTCTCATCTCACCCTGTGCTGACCCCCAATGCCAGAAAGAAAATAAGTAGACCCAAAATTTAGCATAAAGATTAGGCTACAGAAGGACTTACCAATGAGGCAATTATTTTTATTCAGCATCTCCACTGTGTCAAGAATTCATTTCAGGTTCTGTGAAAGTAAAAAGAAAAAAAGAAAAAAAAAGAGATAGAATCCGAATAAACATTTTTTTCCTGAGCTTGAGAATTGTTCAAGAGAACAATAGGCCCATGAAGTAACTGTATGTTTACAAAGCAGGCTGCTTAGATCAGAGCGCAGAGGCAAAATAAGTCTGGGGATCTTCAAGGGGCCTCAATCAATGAAGGCTTTTGAGAAGAATGTTTAATTGTTAAAGAGTGCATGACAGACACTTAAAAGCAGAACAGACCCTTATCAACCTGAAAGAAAATTAGATTTAATAGCACTTGAAATCAAAGGGGTGAATTAAAGGGCATTAATATGGCTGCACTTGCAGCCTTGAGAAAGTGGCTCAACCTCTCAGAGCCTCATTTTTCTTATTTATAAAATGTTACAGAACGAATTTCTCCTTTATACATTTGTCGTGAAGTTTAAGTGAAGTAAAGTACCTTTTATGTGCACAAGCATTATAGTTTTTATTACTGTTATTGCAGTGAATTCCAGAACCATTCCATGGGCAGGAGAAAATGCACCAAATTGATCAAAAGCAATTATCTCTTGATACTGAGATTAGAGGTGGACTGGTTTTCTTCTTTCTACTTTTCCACATTTTCTACATTTTCTATAACAACCATATATTATTTTATAATCAGTAAAACATCAGCATTTAAAACAGATTTTAAATGTAAATTTCTTGAATGAATTATTTGGCAAGATAATAAATGTTAATCCAACTCACATAATCAAGTGGCTTTTGAATATACGAATCCTTGATTATACTGAACACTTAGATTACACCAAACATTGTTCTATGTCACATACAAAAATGATAAAGCATGCTCCTGGGCTGCAGGGAGATCAGTATTGTGAATGAATGTGTCCTTTCCTCATTCTCTCTTCAAAAAGTAGTCCAAATAAACTGCTGCCATGGACCAGACCTGCATGAAAAGGAACCAAAGTCCAATTGTTTAAAGTTCGAAACTGGGAATTAGAAGATGTGAATTCAAATCTTGGTTAATATTTAGCAAATATTAATTGACTACCTACTACATGCTGGATATTTTCTAGGCATGAGAAAAACAGTGGTAAACAAGTAGGTAGCCTTGGATATGATTTTTTAGTTTTCTGTCCCCATTTTCTTATTTTTCCAATTGGAAGGAATAAATGAGATAACATATAGTGTCCAGTATAAAGCAAGCACACAGCACCCTTCTATACTGAATCTTTCCCATCAGAATTCAAGCATACTGGTAAATCTCTCATTTTCAAAGTAATAATAATAAAATTTCTTTGATTCCACATCCACCTCTAGTTACCAACTCATTTTCTCTCTTACTGTTCACTGGCTACTCTTCTGGTAAGCTGTCTACACTCACTGTCGCCAATTCCTCCCCTCCCTTTCTCTCTTGAACTCACTCTTAACAAGCATTGGCCCAGAAATTGCTTTTGTCAACAGGGTCTCAGATAATAAACACTCTGTCTTTGTGCAAATTAGAAAACGGTGCCCTCCTGAATGAATGAGTTATAAATATCTGTGCCCTCCATGTGGATATAGCAGATGTAGGCAGTACTTCACTACTACTCACCCATTCAAACGGGCACCTTTGTATAAGGCATAACCAACACACCCACAGTAATGCTGCTTCTCGTGACCACTGGTGGCTTCCAAGTGGTCAAAGCTATGGATCATTTCTCAGTCTTTTTTTGCCTGCAATATCAGCAACATATGCCAGAGTTGATTGCTCCCTCTTCTTTGAAGCATCTTATTTACAACACACTCTCCCTTTCATTCTTTCTCTCTGTGTTTCCTCTTTTTCACATTAGAGTCTAAGGACTTATTTATCTTGTAACTTTTACCAGCATCTCCCCATTTAACCTGCCCTTCAGCCCCTGGCAATCATAATTTGTATTTCCATGGGTAAAATACTGCATGATCTCACTTATATGTGGAATCTAAAAACAAAAACAAACAAACAAACAAACAAAAACCAAGAAAGTAAAACATAGAAACAGAGAGTAGAAAAGTGGTTGCCAGGGGCTAGGGAGTGGGGAAAATAGAGAGAGGTTGGTAAAGGAGTACAAACTTCCAGATATAAAATGAAGAAGGTCTGAGGATCTAATGTAAAACATGGTGACTATGGTTGATAACACTGTATTATATAACTGAACAATTTTAACAACAACAAAAAATAATTTGTCTTTCTCTGTTTAACTTATTTCACTTAGCATAATGCCTTCAACGTCCATCTGTATTGTTGCAAATGGCAGGATTTTTCTTAATGGCTAAATAGCTTTCCAGTGTGTGTGTGTGTGTGTGTGTGTGTGTGTGTGTGTGTGTGTGTGTACCACATTTTCTTTAACCATTTATCTGTCAATGGATAGTTGTTTCTTAGCTACTATGTCTTAGCTATTGTGAATAATGCTCAAATGACGATGAAAGTGCACATATCTCTTCAAAAATCTGACCTCATTTCTTTAAAATATATAACCAGAAGTGAGATTGCTGGATCATATGGTAGATCTGTTTTTAATTTTTTTGAAGAACATCCATACTGTTTTCAATAGTGCCTGCACCAATTTATATTCCTACCACCAGTGTGCAAGGGTTCCCTTTTCTCTACATCCTCACTAACGCTTGTTACTTCTTATCATTTTTATAATAGCCATTCTAACAGGTGTGAGATGATACATCATTGTGATTTTGATTTGCATGTCTCTGATGATAAGTGAGGCTGAGCACCTTTTCATGTACCTATAGGCCATCTGTGTGTTATTTGGGGGAAAATGTCTATTCAATTCCTCTGCCCATTTTTAATTGAATTCTTTGGCATTTTTTGTTATTGAGTTGTATGAATTCTTTATATATTTTGAAAATCAACCCCTTAGATATGATTTGCAAATATTTTCTTCCATTCCGTAGGTGCCTTTTCATTTTGTTGATACTTTGATTATACAGAACTTTTCAGTTTCATGTAGTGCCATGTGTTTATTTTGCTTTTGTTACCTGTATTTTGGTGTTATATCAAAAAAAATTATTGCTGAGACCAATGTAAAGGAGATTATTCAGAGATGTGTTAATTTCCACATGTTTCTGAATTTTCCAGTTTTCCTCCTTTACTCATTTCTAGTTTCATGTCATCGTGGTCAGAAAAGATACTTGGTATGATTTTAATCATCTTAAATTTGCTATGACCTGTTTTGTGATCTATCACATGATCTATCTTGGAGAATGTTCCATGTGTGCTTGATAAACCTACAGCTAACATCATACTCAATGGAGAAAGGCTAAAAGCATTTTCCTTAAGATCAGGAACAAGACAAGGATGCCCACTTTCACCACTTCTGTTCAACATTGTATTAGAAGTCTTAGCCACAGCAATAAGACAAGAAAGAGAAATAAAATTATCCAAGTTGGAAAGGAAGAAGTAAAACTCTCGTTATTTGCAAATGACATGATACTATATATAGAGAACCCTAAAGATTTCACCAAAAATCTGTTAGAACTGATCAATGAATTCAGTAAAGTAGCAGGTTACAAAATAAATATTCAGAAGTCAGTAATATTTTTATAGACCAATGATGAACTTTCAGAAAGAGAAATTAAAATAACAATCCCATTTACAATTTTATCAAAAACAATAAAATACCTGGGAATCAAATTAACCAAGGAGATAAAAGACCTGCTCTCAGAAAATTATAAGTAACTGAAAAATAAATTGAAGAAGATAAAAATAAATGGAAGCATATACTGTGCTCATGGGTAGGAAGAATCAACATCATTAAAATGGCCATACTACCCAAAGCAATCTATAGATTCAATGTAATCCCTATCACAATACCAATGACATTTTTCAGAAAGCTAGAGCAAATAATCTTAAAATTTATATGGAGTTATAAAAGACCCCGAATAGCCATGGCAATCTTGAGAAAGAACAAAGTTGGAGGTTTCACACTACCTGATATCAAACTATATTACTAGGGTACAGTAATCAAAATAGCATGGTACTAGCATAAAAAACAGATACAGTGATCAGGGGAAAAGAATAGGGAGCCCAGAAAAAAATCCACGCCTATACTCTCACTTAATATATGACAAAAGAGGCAAGAATATACAATGGAGTAAAGACAGTCTCTTCAATAAATGGTGTTGGGAAAATTGGACAGATACATGCAAAAACCAGAAACTAGACCACCTTCACCATATACAAGAATAGACTCAAAATGGATTAAAGAATTAAATGTAAGACCCGAAACCATAAAACTTCTAGAAGAAAACATAGGCAATAATCTCTTTGATATTGCTACTAGTAGTTTATTTTTGGACATATCTCCTTGGGCAAGGGAGACAAAAGAAAAAATAAACCAATGGGACTATATCAAACTAAAAAGTTTTTGCACAGCAGTGGAAACCATCAACAAAATGAAAAGACAACCAACTGAATGGGAGAAGATTTCACTTATGATACATCTGATAAGAGGTTAATATCTAAAATACAGAAAGAACTCATACAACTCAACACCAAAGAAACAAACAATCCAATTAAAAATAGGCAGAAGACCTGAACAGATATTTCTCCAAAGAAAAAATACAGATGGCCAATAGATATATGAAAAGATGCTCAAGGTCACTAATCATCAGAGAAATGTAAATTAAAACCACGATGAGATACCACCTCGCACCTGTCAGAATGGCTATCATCAATAAATCAAAGAACACACACACACACACACACACACACACAATAATTCATAAAAATCTATGCACCACTGTTTCCATGGCAGCACAGTTTACAATAGTCAAGATATGGAAGCAACCTAAATGCCCATCAATAGACAATGGATAAAGAAGAATGGTTCATATATTCAGTGGAATATTACTCAGCCATTAAAAAAATGAAATCCTACTATTCACGATGACATGAATGGACCTAGAAGTTATTATGATGAGTGAAATAAGTCAGACAGTGGAAGATAAATACCATATGATTTTATTTATATGCGAAGTCTAAGGAACAAAAAGAACAAACTAATCAAAACCAGACTCATAAATATAGAAGACAATCTGGTGATGGTCATAGGAGAGGGGAGTTGGGAGGCTGGCAGAAAGGGGTAAAGGGTTAAAGAAGTACAAATTAGTAGCCGATAGATGGTCACGGGGATGGGGAGCATGGCATAGGGAATGCAGTTAGCATTAATGTAATAGCTTAGGTGTAGAGACAAAGGAAAGAAAGGGCAATCAGGGGATCATTTATAAACTATATAAATGTCTAACCAATGTACTGTATACTTGAAACTAATAAATGTTTTTTTAAAGAATATGTATTCTATTGCCGTTGGATGGAATGTTCTGTATATGTCTGCTAGGTCCATTTGTACTAAAGTATATTTCAAGTCCAGCATTTATTGATTTTGTGTCTGGATGATCTATTAATTGTTGAAAGTTAGGTATTAAATTACCCTGCTATTATTGTATTATCATTTATTTTTCCCTTCAGAACTATTAGTATTTGCTTACTATATTTTGGTTCTCCAATGTTAAGTGTATATATTCTTACGATTGTTTTATCCTCTTGATAAATTAACCCCTTTATCATCATATAATGACATTCTTGGGGTCTTGTTACAATTTATTTATTTATTTTTGACAAATTAGAATTGTTACGGTTTTTGACTTAAGGTACATTGTGTCTGCTGTAAGTATACTCACCCTGTTCTCTTTCAGTTTTCATTTGCATGAAATATCTTTTTCCATCTTATTACTTTGAGCCTATAGGTGTGTCCTCAAAGCTGAAGTGAATGTCTTGTAAGCTATATATAATTAGGTCTTGTTTTTTTTTATCTATTCAGCCACTCTATCCCTTTTGATTGGAGAATTTCGTCTATTTATATTTAAAATAATTATTGATA